GAAAGTTTTTTATTTGTGTGTGCAGGTATTGATCATTGGTTGTGGTTCTTAAGCTCCCGTTGGTTCGATAAACCATGAGGTCACCTGAGGGAAACTGTGGTTTACTACTCCCATCCGTTCCTCAATATAAGTCTTTTTAGAGATTCCAATATGGACTACATACAGAGCAAAACGACTGAACCTACACTATAAAATATGTGCATATACATTTGTATTTAGTCCATATTGAAATCTCTAAAAAGACTTACATTTAGGAACAGAGGGAATACAAACCCTTGCACTTAGGCCCTGAGCACCTTCATAGTTGCGAGGAAGCAAGCCTTTTTCTTGTGTCGTTTCCGGGGAGTTTCATCACGAAAATAGGTCCTACACTCCTTTGCTTTTACTTTATTGTTTTATATTTTGCTTAGTTACCTTTTGTTGCTTGTTATTTCGCTTTTCTGCTTTCTCAAAACTCAAAAACACACACAATTTTTTTAGCAAGTAATTACTTTTATTTTAAGCTTGAAAAGATGTCTACTAGACCTCAAAATAGTAAACTTTGTGATTTTGCAAGTGGTAATAACAATAACTTTATTAGTACACCAATTGCTCCACCAGCCACAAGTGTGGAATCTTATGAAATCAAACTTGCTTTGCTGAACTTGGTAATGAAAGAACAATTCTCGCGTTCTTACAGTGAAGATGTTGCCTCTCATCTTAAATAATTTTGTTGATATATGCGATATGAAAAATTATAAGGAAGTAGATGAGGTTAAGTTAAAACTTTTCCCTTTTTCATTACGAGCAAAGGCTAGGAATGGTTTATATCTTTGCCTAGAAATAATATTGATTCTTGGACTAAATGTAAGGTGATTTTATTGGTCAATATTATCCTCCCGCTAAAATCATACAATTAAGGAATGTTATCATGAATTTTAAACAAATTGAGCATGAGCATGTAGCCCAAGTCCGGGAAAGGTTAAAATCAACAACTAAGATTTGTCCTACACATGGTTTAAGTGAGTGGATGATTATACAAAAATTCTATGCTGGTCTCAACTATATCTCTAGAAATCTTCTGTACTCGGTTGCAAGTGGTACATTTACGGCTACTATTTGAGGAATATGTTGAGAAGAGCTCCAACTGGTAAGAAGGTAAAATATGTTGAGAAGATATTTTGTTTTGAATGATAAAATTGACATGATTCTTTCTATGATTGCTTCTAAACATGGATGTTAGGGATGTTTCTCTTGGTGGTAATAATGAGCAAGTGGATGTTTCTCTGTTGGCTCGTGGTGATGTTAAGGATGTTCTCTTGTTGCACTTGTTCAACAAAATAATGAGCAAGTGGATGTTAACTTTATTAATAAACAACCTTGCTAATAATGCTAGTAGGAACTTTGGTGGTAATAATAATTATGCTAGACCTTATCCTCAAAATAATTTTGAGAATTCTTATGGTAACAAAAATGTACCTTTTGAATAAGAGAGTGTTATTTAAGGACTTTATTGCCACTCAACAAGATTTTAACAATCTTGTTGGCATCCCCTAGAAAAAACAATCCTGGTAGCAATAAACTGGACAAGCTAGAAAATGGGATGCTTAAGCTTGATACTTTGATCCATGATGTTGAAATACTTACGGTTAAAGCTTTGCCCAAATATGACATGCCTGAATCTCTTAAATCCATTTAAGTCGTTCTTGATAATAATGACATGATGGTTGTCATGCTTGGAGCTAGACGTAAGAGAGAACAAATAAAAAAGAGGTTACATAAATCTGTATGAAATATAGCAAGACACGACCTTTAAATAAAATCATATTAGTTGCATACTCCTTCCGTCCAAATTGGGACAGAGGGAGTATAAAACAGATTAATTTGACCTTAAATTAACTGGAAATCATTTGAATTTAAAAGCCTCTAAGATTCTCGTCATCTTCTTGGGACGTTGATGTTAGGACTTCTCATCGTGTGGGGAGATTTCAGTGCCCAGTGCTTCAGATCTATTCAAGGGATCAACAACGATGACTGTTGTTTCAAGGTGCTGGTCCTTAGGGCCACGTGTGCGCAAACTTATTGACTGATATCGGCAAGGTCTAGCCGGTTCCGATAGAGGAGCGACGGCAACGAGGCGTCGACGGCTCGTTTTGACGACAGTAGTGGTCGTTCGGCGGTCTTGAACTCTTAATATAATTTTTATTATGTTTAAGTTGCCTCGTGTTTTCGATGAATTTTGATAATATATAGATCTGAATCCTAAAAAAAAGCCTCCAAGACTAAGTTTTTTTTGGTGATGGTAGCCTCCAAGACTAAGAGCATTACTAGTAGAACCCTCAAACCCTCAAATCCTCAAAGCACTTTTAAGGGTTGAGAAGTGCCACTTTTTGACACTTTTAAGGGTTGAAAAATAGGGGCAAATACTAGAACCCTCAAACCCAACCCGTAAACTGCTTTAAGGGTTGGATTTGAGGGTTCTAGTCTTTGCCTCAACCCCAACCTTTAAATCTATCATTTGGCATCTCACAATTTATGACAACAAGAACACAATCAACTTCCAAACAAACTACCAAATGACAATCATTGATGCATGGTTTAATAGTTTACATCACAAAATCATCATCTTCCTCCTCTCATCGGCACCATCACCAAAAGTTGCACCTCGGCGCCATCTCCTAGACCACAAGCGGGCTCCATCAAGCATGTCCATCGCCACCGATGGAGTCGTACACACCGCCATCACCACAACTACTCATCGGAGTGTCACCTCGAAAAGTAGAGGACGCAACACGAAACATCCTCTTCCTCTCCGCGATGTCCTCCTTGTAGTCCTTCCACCATTGCAATTGGTCTTGATCCATGTCCTTCTTGGACATCATCATGTGCTCTTTCTCTTCCACCATGAGTTCTTTCCATACCTTTGCCTCTTTGAGCTTGATCATCCTCTCCTCCAACTCGGCCTTGCGCTTTGCTTCTTCACGTTTTGCTTCAACTTGTGCAAGCTTGACCTCTTTCTTCTTCTCGGTGATAAGAAGCTTCATCTCCAATGTCTTCGTTGTCAATTCCTCTCTTGCCTTTATCATGTGGTCCATCTTCTCCCTTAGGCTTGACGCCTCTTCTTCCATCTTCACCCTTAGCTTGCCCTTCTTGTTTCCCTCGGGCTTTCCCACGTTCCTCTCCTCCTCATCTTCACTATCGTCCATCCTTAGCATTGCCGACTTCTTGGGTGCGGTCTCTTGATCCCTCAACTTCCACTTGTCAAAGGTTTGAAGAATTGACCAAACATGCTTAAATGGGAATGGCTTGCCCTTGGAAGCGGCCATCTCCTTGTACCTAAAGCCGGCAATTGTCTCCTATCAACCACACATAAATCACATAAGAACCCACCAATAGCATAGTGCACACACACAATCAAAAAAGTGAAGAAATATGTACTTACATAGTCACTCTCCACGGTTCCACTAGGTGGTGCATCCCTCACTTGGTCCATGGCCGCACTCCAACGAGAACAAGCGGGCTTGATCAACTCCCAACGGCCTTGAAGCGACCGGAATGTGCGATGGATGAACCCACTATTCTTCGGCTTGATCCTACAATAAACGTCCTCAATCCTTTGCCAATAGAGTTTACCGGTTTGATCGGTGCCGGTGGTAGCATCCATTCCCACAGCTGCCCAAGCACGAACCAAGAGGACATCTTCCGCCTCGGTGTAGTTTGTGGACCGAGCGTGTGGGCGGGAAGCGGCGGTGAATGCCTCCACCCCTATCTCGGCCACCTCCTCCTCGTCATCCCCTTCATCCTCCTCATCTTCCTCCAAGTCGTCTCCAACCCTAAAGGGGTCTAGAGGCGGAGCTCCGAGGTCCACCTCCGCGTTTTGGAGGAGGTCCATGAACGAGGATGGGGTTGCCATTTCCTCGAGCACCTCGTGCGCGGCGGGAGAAGGTTCGGTGACGGTGGCGGGCGGGGGCGCGGCCGCGGCGGGGGCCTTCTTTCGCGGCTTCTTCACGGCCGGGGACGAGCCGACGACCTTGGCGGCCCCTCGAGGCCCACGGCCGGCCGCCTTCGGGCGGCTCTTCT